CTGGAAAACATTTTCCTTCTCTTGTATTGTGTACTGCTGGAACAGTAAAGAAAACACACAGCACTGGTGGAAGTGCAAAAAATGCTATAAAATCAAGGGAGGGGCCTTCTTTGACCTGGAGTTAGGGACATGCCAAAACTGTGATCCTCCTCTCCCCACAGAGAGAAATGATCCAGCTTAGAAGCTCATGAAAAATGACTCTTGTTGGTCTGATCCCTTTCATACTTGATTGGTGGCATTTTTAAGGCATTAAGTAATGTATTTTGGCATCTATAAGTGGAACCTAATCAACAAAACAAACAAGCAAGCAAAATATAACCAGAGACATTGAAATTAAGAAAAAGCTGACAGTAACCAGAGGACAGGTGGGAGGGGCTGATAGAGGGGGAAAGGGGGAAGAGTTTTCAGGAACAAGTATAAAGCACACATGGACAAAACCAAGCGGGGCAGGGGGGGAATGGAGACAACTGTACTTGAACAACAATTAACAACAAAAAAAGAAAGGTATTTTGGAATACTTTAAAAGGCATCACAGTAAAATTTAAATGGTCCAGGCAGTTAGAAATGTGTTTTTCTGACTAAGGGTTAATCCTGAACATCCTTGAGGTCTTCTTAGGTCTTCCCCTTCCCCTACCTTCCAACACAGCTACCTGCCTTGGGGACATATCCCCTATGCTCCCCCTTGCTGCTGAGAACATCTGAGGTCCCCTAATTTCCACCACCTGACATAAGAAACAAGAAGTTTGTGGATGGGGTCACCATGACTTGGAGGGTGGCAGCCTCTGCCAGGCACGGGCTAGCGGGTGTGCATAATGAAAATATTCCAACCTCTCTTCTGCTTCTTTGTTTTTGAATGGGCTAAATTAGGCTTTGCAAATATTTAACACCGAGGCTGACCCTGGGACCTGCAGTAGGCAGTCAGACAGACATGAGCAGAGTCGGAGTGATGAGCCAGGTATGGAAGGTCACCAGGCTGGGAAGCCCCAGGTGACCTTTCCTCCCCAGCATAGCGCTGGCCATGCGGTTTAGATTCCCTGAGCTTCTATATCACTGGTCATTCTGTTCGGACCCTCCCCTGACCTCTCCCCCCCTGGTGTGTTGCTAGTCACATGGTAGACCCCTGCAAAGGAGGGGCGGGGGTGGAGAATGGCTTCATATGACTCCCACACAAGCCCTTGCATGACCACTCCCTTAAGCACTGAGCCCTCAAAACAATGAGGTTCCAAGCAGCATCAAATAATCTTTGGAGCAAAGCCTCAGTATGCTGAGCATACAGGCCGAGTTTTGCTCATACTAGAGTTAACATCTAGACCTCTGTTGTGTTTTAGCTCCAGGCCCAGAAAAGCAGCAAAACCAGACAGAACAGAGGCCACAGCTGACATCGGGCCCAGCTGCACTGACCCTCCGCAGAGCCGGCCAACAAGCAGACGCTCCGTTCTTCTTCCTTCAAGGCCCACAGCTTTGCTTTCTTTGTCCTAAGCTCCAAGGGTCCCTCTTTCGTCTCTGTAACTTGTTTCCTGAGTCACTTCTTCCACCCCTCTGACTTTCTAAATGAACATTTGCCTGTATTTCAGTTCCTTGGCTCTGGATTCTTTTCTTAGCCAAAGTCAAGGACCGAGGTCTAATGACCTGGAGTGGGGGCGGGGGCAGGGCTGGTGTTTGGTGTCTCCCTTGCTCATTCGTTCTCTTTTGGCAATTTTGATTTATTTCATTATATGTGTATGTGTGCTTGGTTAAGCAGACTCTCCGATTATATTATTTAGTTCTACCTAAGCGAACCCTCAGAAAATGGGCCGGTGATTTCAAGAGATTCCTGCAAGAAATGCAACCAAGGAGTGAAGGCAATATGCTAATCATGCCAGCACAAGTGAACAGCAAGAAAATGGATTTTCCGCAACCCATTTATATGGTAAAAGTAATGATCTAATCAGATCTGACAAGAAGCGAGCCATAAAAGTTTCAGAAATTCTAATGAGATGATTTGAAATATGGATTTCAAATACTTTTACTTGTCTTGAGATAGTCCCCAGGCAGTAGGAAGCCATGGCAATTAGCAAAACAGTGAAACACATTGTGATTTGCTCCTGGCTTGACATGGGTGATGGGGAGAGGCAATAAGGCACAGCAGACCCCTGGGGGGGAAGGATGAGTCAAGGATGACACTGAGTGCATCTGCTAGCTAGGGGGACAGGTGGGGTGGGGTCATTAAGGCACCACCAACTGCGACAGGCATCTGGGAGCCTGGGGGGAAGACGACTTCTCGGACCCAAGCACAATGAGTTTGAGGGGCCCTGGGGAGCATCCGGGCCACACAAGGCTGCCTAGTAGGCACCTCTGACTTAACTTATCCCACCTACCCTGAGCTTCCCATTTTCCCATCCAAACCCTGTCACTTTCCATCAAAGCAAGACAAGGCAAAAAACCCATCTTCCCTAAATAATTAGCCTATTAGGGATCCTGAGGGATAAAGCGATTCTTCCTGAAAATGCAAATACCTATTGTGTTGGTCATAGTGTAGGCTCTGGTCACAGCCTGCTGGGCACCACTGTCAATCACTATAGTCAGAGCCATGCTGTATCCTTCCCAGGCACTCTCTCTCCTCTGTGCAGTCCACCACCAAGCCACACTGTTCCCCCCACCAAGAGAATGAATTATTTAAAAAGAAGGGTTGGAAGTGAAAGGCAGGCTTGGGTGCAGAACGAGTGGGGTGGAGGGCGAAAGAGAATAAACAGAATGGTCAGAGACGACCAAATGCAAAGGTGGGGATGTTGTATCAGCCAGTCCTCACTCCCTAGGCCGTGCGACCAGTCGTCCCTTCTCCAGTTCCAGCTTGAGTGCCCCTAAAATCGTGCCTTTGGCTCAGGCCTGGGAACAGGAACAGGGTTTTTGCCTTTGCCCTTGGTGGCTGCTCAGTCCTAGAGTTCACTCATCCAGTGGTCTGGAATGACAACAAATGTTTTTTTTGGGGGGCCAAGCATAATGAAGTTTCTTGGCTATATTGGGTGTTTTAGGGTCCTGAACAAGGACATACGAAAGCAATGATAGTCAAACAGGGCATGTCGTATAGGAAAGCAAATTCAGATTGTTGCAACACCTTGTATTAAATAATTATACTTTATTGATTATGCTATTACAGTTGTCCTGATTTTTCCCCCTTCCCCCCCCTCCACCCAGTACCCCCATTCCCTCCAGAAATCCTCCCCTTTAGTTCATGTCCATGGGTTGTGCATATAAGTTCTTTGGTTTCTCCATTTCCTATACTGTTCTTAACCGCCCCCTGTCTATTCTGTACCTATCAATTTGTACTTCTTAATCCCTGCACCTTTCCCCCATTCTTCCCTTCCCCCTCCCAACAGATAATCCTCCAGGTGATTTCCATATCTATGATTCTGTTCTTGTTCTACTTGTTTGCTTAGTTTGTTTTTTTAGATTCAGTTGTTGATAGTTGCGAATTTGCCTTCATTTTAATGTTCATAGTTTTGATATTCTTTTTCTTAGATCTCTTTAACATTTCATATAATAATGGCTTGGTGACGATGAACTCCTTTAACTTGACCTTATCTGGGAAGCACTTTATCTGCCCTTTCATTTTAAGTGATAGCTTGCTGGATAGAATAATCTATTTTGTAGGTCCTTGCCTTTCATCACTTGAATACTTCTTGCCAGGCCCTTCTAGCCTACGAAGTTTCTTTTAAGAAACCATCTGACAGTCTTATGGGAACTCCTTTGTAGGTAACTCTCTGTTTTTCTCTTGCTGCTTTTAAGATTTTCTCTTTATCTTTAACCTTTGGCATTTTAATTATGATTTTCCTTGGTGTGGTCCTCTTTGTGTCCTTCTTGTTTGGGACTCTCTGTGCTTCCTGGACTTGCATGCCTATTTCCTTCACCAAATTAGGGAAGTGTTCTTTCATTATTTTTTTAAATAGATTCCCAATTTCTTGCTCTTTCTCTTCTCCCTCTTGCACCTCTATGATTTCAATGTTGGTATGTTTGAAGTTGTCCCAGAGACTCCGTAGTGTGTTCTTGATTTTTTAAATTCTTTTTTCTCCTTGCTTTTCTGATTGAATGCTTTTTTCTTCCTTATGTTTTAAAGCATTGATTTGATTCTCAGTTTCATCCACTGCACTGCTGGTTCCTGTAGATTTTTCTTTATTTCACTTAGTGTAACCTTCATTTCTGCTGGGGTCTTTTTTTTATGCTGTTGAAGTACCCAGTAGGTTCCTTGAGCATCATAATAAACAGTGTTTTGAACTCTGCATGTGATAGATTGCTTATCTCCATTTTGTTTACTTCTTTTTCTGGAGTTTTCTGTTCTTTCACTTGGGCCATTTTTTTTTTTTTGTCTCCTCATTTTGGCAGCCTCCTTGTGTTTATTTCTACGTATTAGGTAGAGCTGCTTTGACTCTGTGTCTTGCTAGTGTGGTCTGTTGTAGAAAAGTGCACCTGTAAGTTGGGTAGAGCATAGTCTTTGGTAATTGGGGGAGAGGATATGCCCTGTAAACAAGGTTGTTGGAGTCTCATATTTGGTACCATCGTTCTGTGGCTCTGTGTTGGGGAGGGCTCAGAGAAAGGGGACAAAGCCGCTGCCTGGCCTCTAGAGTTCTAGAGTTTTGTCCCAGAGGAAGCTGTCCCCCAGCACTTGCCCTGATGCCAGACAGTTCAATTTCTTCCCACAAGCCACTGGTGCCTTTCCAGCTGCTGCCCCAGTGCTGAAGCCCAGAGGGAATGAGTGTGCATAACTCCTAAGTCTGTTGCAGGCCCTTCAAGAGAAGACTCCTGAGAATCTCTCAGTTTCTTCTACCACCCCAAACTCCATTGGTTTTTACGTTCAGAGTTATAGGGATTTATCTTCTTGGCACTGGAACTCTGGGCTGGGTGGTCTGGTGTGGGGCTGGGATCCCTCACTTCCAAGGTATTTCTCCAGATTTTTACCTACCCCACATGGGTGTAGGACTGCCCCCCACCCTCTCCGCACGTCTCTGCCCCTTCTACCGGTCTAGGTGAATGTGGCTTCTTTAATTCCTTGGTTGTCTCACTTCCTTGTGCAGGGGCCATGCTAATCTTCTCTGTATGGTTCCAATTTTAGTATATGTGCTGCCGAAGCGAGCACTGTCATACTTCCATACACTTCGATTTTCAATAATTCTGGGTGATATTTGTTTTGTAGTTGGGTTGTAGTTTTTGCTGTGGTTGTGTCAGGAGGTGAGCCATGTTTACCTATGCCTCCATCTTGACCAGATATAAATAATTACACTTTAAAAGCAGCATTTGAGCATCTTCAAGACGAAGACCAAGATTTTTTCATTTCAGAAAAAATGCCTGGGCCTTGAAATAACCTGTTGTTTCAAGTGGTGAAGAAACATGGGCAGGGTCAGCTCTAAGATCTTCTAGCTCATTATCTCATCTCAGTTTCTCCCCAGTCCACCCAGCCATCAGCAGTGAAGGATCTGTGACTCAGTAACAACCACATCAGAGATCACGTCAGAGATCATGTCAGTGACTGAGCACAGATTATGTGCTCAAGGTAGTGCATACCATGTTTTGATCCTCACAAGGGTTCTGTAAGAGAGGGGCCATGGGTCCCATTTGAGCGATGAGGAAATGGAAGCACAACAGATTTAAGAAATTTGCTCAAAGCTACGAGGCAAGTAAGTAGCAGAGCAGTAGTTCAAATCAATTCCAAACAAAACCTGTTATCTTTGCCTTCATGCATCTACTTTTGGAAAATTATCCTAGGCTCCCTATGACTGTGATTTCTCACTTATTTGAGACATTAAATAGGCCTCAATTAAAATCCACGTCTAGCAAGGAGATTTAGACTTCCTCCTTTTTTAAAATACGAAACACCAGTCTTATGATACAATAGAACAATACCACGTATTCATCAAAACTGGAAGATACATGAAGCTTTCATTTTTAAAGGGAATTTTATATATTCCAACAGAGGCACCTATGGATTTTGTTTTTCATATTGATTTTGCAGCCAGTTCTGAAAAGCGAGTGAGTGATCATTTTACTTATTAGAGCTAACTGTAAAGTCACTGGGTAGGGGATGAATCATCTCCAACTCAACAGGTTAATTTTGGAGAGCTGTGAGATATTTTTGTCTCACTGCACCAGAAGAACAATCATCACTTAAAACAACATCTACTTACATGACTTCTTTAAAGAACACTTATTCTCCCCCTCCCCCACTCTCTTTTGCATCTAACAAATAACTAGTGTCTCTCCTAATGGCACACATTCAGGCATAATAACAGCAGAGTGGACCTTAGTGTGCTTTACGCACAGTAACTCATCGTACCCTTGCAGCAGCTCTATGAGGAGGCACCGGTGGCATCGTCGTCATCATCTCCACCACCACCATCATCAGTAGCAGCAGCAGCATTTTACATACAAGAAGACCATGCAAAGAGAGATGACAGAGCTTGTTTAAAGCTGCCACTTCAGAGTGGCAGAGCTGGGTCAGACCTAGGCAGGCTGCCCCAGAGTCCTGCACTTCCACCCGCCATGCTGGATGGCCATTCATGAGGTGATAAACATCAATTAGGTTAAATGGGTATTTTTGAATTATTGCCCACTTTAAGATGGAGATTGAGGAGGTGCTTTTCCTCAGAAGAATTAATTTTTTAGAAACCATGATGCATTTCAAATGTATAGACAAAATAGAAGGTAATATAACGAACTCTATTTGGGTGGCCACCACCGACTTGGAACAAATCTTAACATTTTGTCCTCAGACACAGACTGAGGAAAAGTCCTCTTTGTTTTCAACTCCCTCTCTTTCCCTTCTCTCCCCCCAGACCTAACTGCACTTCAGAAGCTGATGTGTCTTTGTCTCATCTATGTTTTTATACTTTTGCCTCATGAGTATGCATGCATTGACATTATATTGCTCAGAGTGGTTTTAAACTTCAGATAAAGGTGTCATATACTACAGATTCTTCTCCAACTCTTTGCTCAACATCCTGCCTTTGAGATTTATCTGATTTAGTTATTTAGTTGCTGATATGAGTATGTTATTATATCCATGTTTCCTGTTGATGGACGTGTAGGTTCTTTCTGCTTTTTGTAAGCAAAAACGTCCACGGCGGTGTCTCTTTGTGCACACACACGGCAGTCCACCCAGCACGCCACCGCCAGGTCCTGTTCCAGAGGCTGCCAAGTGCTTCCCGGCGAGACCGCACTAATTTTCACTCCCAGCAGCAGAGCTCGAGCCCCTGCAGTTCCACTTCCCCGATGACACTTCAGCTAGTCCACCTTTACACGTTTTGCCAGTCTGATGAGTACAGAATGGCATCTTGTTTAGATATAAATTTCTGCGATTGTTAGTGAGCGTCAATATATTCTCTGTGTACATAGAACACTCAGGTCTTTCATCGGTGAAGTGATCTTTCCTATAATCTGCTCTTTTTTTCCCTTCGAATTCGATCGTATGTCTTTTTTTCTGGCTAATTTGTACAGTCTTTTAATGTATTATGGATTCTAATTCTCTGCTGATCACACTGTCTCCTCCCAGTCTGTAGCACTGTCTTTTTACTATATGGTGTCTTTGGTCATACAGAATCGGAACATTTTAACATAGTCACATTTATCAGTCTTCTCCTTTATGGTTAGTGTTTTTCCCCCATCGCCATGTAACCCCCCACAGCCTCTTCCACCTTCACCCACCCACCTCCTGGCCACAATCACCACACTGTTGACTGTGTTCATGAGTCCTTTCTTTCCCTCTTTTTTTTGCTCAGCACCCTCATGGCCAGTGGCCTTTGTACCATGTTGTCCTGCCATGAGGTGATAAGTGACTCTTACATATTTTCCAAGGATTTTAAGGTTTTGCTTTTCACATTCATTAATCCACCTGGAATTTATTCGTACATATTGTATGAGGTACACTTTTCTCCTCACAATGTATTCCATTTATTGAATAGTTCATCCTTTTGCTGATCTGTTAGGCCACCTTTTTCTTAATGAAGTTTAAATATTGCACCGGCCTGAGTTTTTAAAAATTCTGTTCCATTGAGCAATGTCTACGTCAGTACCAACACCACACTATCTTAATTACTATAATAATTACTGTAATGCATGATAAATCTTGGTAGGCCATAGGGAAGTTCCCTCTGTTTTATTCTTTTTACAAATTATCTTGACTATTCTTGCTTTACTCTTCCATCTAAATTTTAGGATCATCTGACCAAATGCCATGAATATCCTGCATTAATCTGAGGTGAACTGGAATCTTTACATAATATTAAGCTTCCCACCCAACATGATATATCTCTCCATTCATCCAGATCTTCTTCTGTGTCCTTCAATGATGTTTTATAGTTGTTTCCATAAAGCTACCACATATCTTTCATTAGATTTACTTCTAGGTACCATGTAGTTTTGGTTGCTACTATAAGTGTAATTTTTTCTGTTACAGTTTCTAAATGGTTATTAATGATATATAAGAACCCAACTGATTCTTGTATATTTATCTCCAGTTGAGAGATTCTGCCGAGTTCTGTTATTAGTTAGTTCTATTAGATTTTATGTAGCATGTCTTGGATTTTTTTTTATGTGGACAACTACAGTGCCTGTATAAAATGATTGTTTTCCTCAACTTCCTTTTTCTTGCCGTACTGCACTGGTGGGACCGCCAGCACGTGCTGAAGAGCCAGGCTGCGCTGGCATCCTTGTCTTGTTCGTGACTTTAACAGAAGGGTCTCCAAACTTTCCCACCACATAGGATGTCTGCTCTGGGTTTTGGTTGGATATCACTTCCAAGTTAAGGAATCTTTCTTCTCTTCCTGTTTTGCTAAGGCTTTTTATGTGGAAGGTAGAAATATACATCTAATGTTATCGAACACTTTCTTTGTACCTATTGAAATGATCATATGGTGTATCCCTTTTGATGTGTGAAGTGAACCAATTATGTATTAAAAGACCCTTTGATTTAAGTCATTATTGCTTTTCCAAGATAAGCCATACTTGGTTCTGATGTGTATGTATTTAATATACTGAAGAATTCTAGTAGTAAATATTGTATTTACCATTTTGCAAGTATTCTCAAAGGTAAGATTTGTCTATAAGTTTTTCCTAGTACAGTCCTTGCCTGATTTTGATGTCAGAGTAAACTATCCTCATAAAATAGACTGCATTGCCCTCTCTCTTCTCTGAGACCGTGTGAGGTGAGAGATAACTATTTCGGAAGCCGTAGCAAACTTGCCCATACAGCCGCTTGTGACTAGTGTGCATTCTGAGAGCAGAGAGTCCATTTCTTTAACGTTTATTCATGTGCGGAAGAGGAGTAGCCCTGAAAACAACAAAAACTTGCATTTTTAATTTAACGACTGGTTTAAGCTCTCTAGATTTTTCTTTTCTTTCCCAAGAGCACCTACAAAGTAGGTAGTCTCTCTGAATGACAGATCATTCTCAGGAATAAAGTGATAAACACCATCTACTGGTGTGACTTTCAGTATTATCTTGTTTTTCTTTGACAGGGGAGACTGAAAAGCCATTTCTCAGAATATTTTTTCTTCAATTTTTTTATTACAAAAAGTGATATTTGAGCACTGAGAAAAGTCAGAAAAGACAGATGAGCTGTAGGAAGAAAACCAGTCCCCTGCATGTCTGTATTTTTCCGAACGGTCTCCCAAGCACATACAATTTAATCTTCCCAAGTATGGTATCTATCAACGGGCACTCTATGTTGATCAGCAGAGAGCAACAAATAATGCAGCATCAGAAGGGGAAGTGTGTCCCAAAGTGTCTGTTGGCACATAGTGGCATCCCCTTCTGATGTCACTTCTCAAGCCAGGAGGAAGATCCTCCACAAACAGACAGCTGGCTCTTCCCACTCCATCCCGGCCCTCCCCACAAGACATCTGCTTGTCCTCTGTCAGATGACATGCTGAAATCAGAGGCCAAAGGTCAGCTCACCCCTTCACAAGGATGGCTCCAACCTAGCCCAACTGGCTGAAGATAGTCAGGCAGATGAGCACCCAAAAGTGCCAGAAATCAAGTCTGCTCACCCTGAGGGTGCAGCCCTGCCCCTCTGTGCCTCCAGCTGGGTCCCCTGCCCAGGCCGCAAAGGGAGAGGGGCAGACTGTCCCAGCTGGAGGCTTCCTC